AACCTCAAAAGTCTTCCCCCTCTATGTTGGTTCAAAGTCTCGGATAATGATTATGTTGGGCACGTTTCCTGTGTTTATGTCGATAGTGATATCTCAATCGACATCGACTAAATTAAACTAAATTAGCTCACAAGGTGTAGATTGTGAGATAGGTGATATCTCATGTTAGTTAGACATGAAAAGGAACTTCTCTCCCGATGACAATACATCGACAGTCACAACAAACTCCACACCAAGCCCAGGCCCATGTTCAAATTTCAGACTAACTAATACTCAGCCCAAACTTGGTTGGTTTAGATATTCGTTTTAAAATGATATTTAAAAAATGCAGGAAGCCTCACTGATACTTGATGTCAACTCAAAGTAAGGCCCAAAAAAGTTGCTGACGGCATATCCCGTGATCGGAATAAGCGCTGCTTCAATATCACTCACGTCCTCCACCAACTCTCTGTACTGTTTCATTACATCGCCGACGATTTTTCCGGGCATCATGGCGGCGAAATTCATCCACCGGTCAGGTGTATCTCTATCGAACAAAGCCAAAGCGTTTTCGAACCGTTTGTTGTCCTCCGTGGTCCACTTAAGGGAGATGGCTGGAGACAGAATCCCAATTCCTCGTTTCATCAGCCCAATTTAGAACAACTCACAGATTAGAACACATAGAAGTTGAAGAAAATTGAAAACCCGAAAGAACCCAGTTGAGGAAATGCAGTGAATCTGAAGAATCCAACACAGATCGCATGAATTGAAACAGAGGAAGAACAGAGTCAAATCCAGAGATTCAAATTAACCAATAACGAGATGGGTATTTTCAAAAAGAAATCAAACAAGAAAATTCTAGAATTTTGAAGATTGTTTCCTCTTTTTGTGGAGGCAGAGAAGAGGAAAACAGTGATTGGATTTGCCGCTGGTATTGAGATGTACGGGAGAAGAACAAGGCACATAATGAAGAGAGAGAGAGAGAGAGAGAGAGAGAGAGAGAGAAATAGAGGGCAAAGGGTGTTGAATTTTGATTGGCTGATTTGGAATTTGTAGGGACATTTTGAGTTTAAAGTTTAAAAATTATGTTTGTTTGTTTGTTTTTTTTCTTTTATATAATATAGATAGGAAAACCACATAATTGGATTACAATAAATGCAGTAAAAAGAAGAGAAAATCATGATATGGATTTTATTTCCATTCCATACCGTATTCGCATGATGAACTATATAATATAAAATGACTCAATTTTTACATCATCTGTATCAAACCAAAATTTCATTCCTTTACTTTATTATTGGTGTATCATTTCGTGTGGATTAGCATTTTGGGAGGTCTCTCGGCGGCGGCAGAAGCGACTGTTGGGGACCTTTCCCATTTTCCACCAAGAACGCCATCTTCAATCCCCAGGTCGTATGCACTTCCAGATGGCAATGCATAAACCACACCCCTGAAAGGTCAAATCCGAACTCTTTTAATTTCTGTTTTTGTTTTCCGATAGAATCGGTTGAATTCATTTCGATGCTTTAAGATTTAAACAAAGAGTCGAAAGAGGAATCGAATCCCTTTTACCTGGATTGTCCGCACGAAACCTTATTGCCGTCCATCCACCGGACGGAACTCCGATTGTGTTCCTCTCCACCGGATCCACGAGATTGAATTTCTTAGCGTCGGTTTTAGGGTTGAAATTGCCGATCCCTCGCCCGACTTCGAAGAAATTGAATCCGTGGAGATGAATGGGATGGTTCTCTGGGGTTACGATTCCTGTATCTTGTAGAACTAATTCCACTGTGGAGTTGTATTGTAATTTGTAGAGCTTAGTTCCGCTTGTAGTCTGCAAATTCTTAGGTCCGGGTCCTGAATAGTTGAATTTGTGAGGGGGGTTTCCTGGAAAATCTGTGCTGAAAACACCTTTTGTTTTGAAGAAATGTGCTTGTAGAAGAGCGGTGGTGGGCATTACAAACGTTATATTGTTGATACTGGCCACTACTCTGCTTCCATTGGCGGCCTTGCAAGTGGGACATGGGTTAATTCCAAGACCAACGGTGAACAAGAGGTGGTGATCGATTGTCAATGGAACCTTGGCAGGGTACTTTTTGGAGTTCAAGCTTCTTAGGGAGTTTGTGAAGGTGTTGGCAATTTGGGTTGCGTTTTGAGGAGGGGGGTTGGTGTTTGTTGTCAGGGACGTGGCCAATGTGCCAGTGTAGTGCACGGTGGCAATGCCGGTCTTGTTGTCGACTGCGATCGGAGCGTCCATGAAGGGAGAGATGGCAACCATGTATTTGCCAGATTTTCTATCTGCGGTTAAGAGGACGTTGGTGGTCTGGCCGGGAGTGATTAGAACTGTGTCTGTTTTGAATGGTTTGACATATGTGGCGTCGACTTCTACAACTGTTAACTTGTGACCTGCGACTTTGAAAAACAGTTCTTCATTCAGTGCAGCGTTGATTATGCGTAGTAAATAGGTCTTCCCTCTTTGAACAGGCAATGTGAAGCCTCCTGATTACCAAAAAGAAGAAAATTAGAACTGTGTATTGCTTCCCAACAGGTTAGGTTCTTAGTTGAATTACTTTGTGTAGGGCAGTTCGATATGGATCCGGGAAGGCCATTGATGGTGTGAGCATCAGAGACATTTGGTGCTAATCCTGACTTAAGAGCTTCGTTGATCACAGCTTCGGTGTCTGATTTCCACCACTCAGCTATGCAATTGATTCACAAAAGCAAGTCAAAATCTCCACTTTGTAAAGGGGAAAGGAGAGAAAGGAGAGTTAGTGAAGTTTTGAGGCTCATACCGAGCACAAGGACAGCTTCTTTGTGGGGTGTAGGGAATGGATAAGGCACGCCGAGCTTTGGCAAGATGACGATGCCACCATGGACGGTGGCTCTCAGCCAGAGAATATGAGCATGCCAGAAGAGTGTGCCTCTTTGGCCGGTGATGGTGAAATTGTACACATAGCTTTGCCCCGGCTGAATAGGACATTGTGTAATGTATGCCGGTCCATCAGCCCAACCTGTTCGGAGTTGCCTGATTCCATGCCTACCACCAACGTTGTACACACTCGTAAGATTATGACTTTTGTAACACCATTATTAGGTTACTGAGAATGCAGTTTGTGAGATTTTACCAGTGAATTGAAAGGTTATATTTGACGTGGTTGACGACTTTGACAAGCACGGTGTCGTCCTCCCTAGCGTAAAGGGTTGGTCCAGGGAATTGTCCATTGACAGTGACAATGGGCTTGGTTGAGCAAAGTCTGGTTGCCTTCCTCAACACCACCTGCCATACTCCAATATGACTCAATATCACTCATTAAAATCAAACCATAACAGAAATAGGTCATTCAAAGGGCATAACTTACAGAGAAAAGTTGAAAGAAAAGAAAGGCTTACATTCAATTTGTAATGGCGAACTCTGGACTCAGCCAAACCAGGAAGAAGGCAGCAAAATGCCAATAAGAGAAAAGCTGGAACCCGCCAAGACTCCATTAATATGTTTCCTTTTTCTGAGTTATTTTGATGTGTGAGAGGTGAAGAAGATGGTGAGAAGGATGGGCATGGAACTCAGGCTTATAAAGAGAAACACCAAATGGGTTAGACAAGGTGTGTGTGCTGTTGCCATGTCGTTTTTTGTCAGTTAGGTGATGAGTTAAACAAATCTTGATAGCAAAGGATTTTCAGATGAAACCAGAGGCAGATCCACCATTTTGTTCTATATATCTTACATGTTACATAAAGTTTCTGTTCTTGTTAGTTGTATGTTTGTATGAGCAGCAGCAATAATTGAGGCCTTTTAGCATTTCTCCATATGATTGAAGCCTCATTTCTAATATTATGGGATTGATATGCTTATTGTTTGGAAAAGGGTGTGGGTCACTCACTTCAGCTGGCATCAAACCTCTCCATCTTCTGTTGGCCTTTGATTGATATCAGTTATTTACCAGAAATGGTTTGGAAATGGGTCTTAGTCACTCACTCCTTTTACCTCATTTTCCAAGGAACCTTCGATCCTAAACCACAACACAATGACCATTTCTGCTTCTTTCAAAACATCATCATCTTTTAAATACAAGTCACAATCCATCTAAAGATCCCACGTCGATTGGAGGGAGAAAACGGGACAATATCTGTTAGCGGTAGGCAAATAGGACAGTTCAAATCATTTTATGCATATCTCAACGACTTTCACCATACAACGATTTGACGCTACTTAAATGATCAATCACCTTGATTTGAATCTATCCTTTCTAGCCAACCATTTATTATTTATATAACTCTTTGGTTTATTTTTTTTTAGCAAAATATATACATACATATATATATACATTTTTTTCCCATTAGAACAGAAAAAATAGTTGGGGTGTTCATCCAATATTGGGAATCTTGTGAACTTGAAACTGTATACAAAAAGTAATAGTTTTTATTTGTATTTATTATTATTATTATTATAAGTGTGAAAGATGGAAGTTTGTTTTGAATTTTTGAAGTAATAAAGAAGAATTGGCCTTATTTGTCTAAATACGAATATAGTTTTCCAAATTTGGTAAGATTTGAAGGGAAAGAATTAAAAAGAGTGTGCAGAAAAGAATTGTGTTGCATACAAATACACGTTACCAGCTATCTTGCCCTAAATAGCACATCCATTTTTGGTGCTTTTATCAAATTAAATATATATATTTTATATTTACTCTCAAGTTAAGTTAAGGATTTTATTTTATCAATTAAAATTAACAAACAAATATGAAAACAAAGGAGCAAGTTTACGCTGAATTATTTCGTTCTTTAGAATGGGCACAGGTAGTATAGAAATTAATTTTGTAGTTGGAAGGCCAAATTATTATTTTAATTTTTGCAAAGGATGGGCTTACAAAACTTGGGATTCCGCAACTAAAATGGTTACGTTTTTGTTTCCCAATCAGAACGAAGGTGCGTTTGATTTTGTATGTACGTAAATAAATGTCCATTTGTCTGGCTGTGACGCTGAAGTAACCGGCTGCTCCTCTCTCTTGCTTTTGCTCGCTCTTTCATCTTCGTCAACCCATCGCTCCGATCCATCCATCACTCCTCCTTTTCTTCAAGGTTTTTCATTCTTCACTTTCGACTATTTCAATACGGGTTTGTTCCTTCCACTCTCAATCCAGATTTCTCGCTTTGGGTCTTCCATAAACTACTTGATTGTGATCGCTTCGTGTTTGGATTTCTCTATTGCCTTTGACTTCTCCATATTCTCTCTTTTGTTTGTGTTATTATTTGATTGCGACACTCAAACCTAGGACTGATTAAACAATTAGTTTGTTCAATATAAAGTTTATTCGTGGAAAAGGGCAAGTTGATTCCTACCCTTTTATTATTTTAATCCAGTTCAAAATTTTGTATTATTATTGTATGTGGTTTTCGATTTTGTTTCTGAAATCTTTGGTGGCATGAAATTATTAGCCTTAGTTTTGATGAACAGGTCCTGTAGGTGTTAGTATAGCAAGAAAGGGCCTTAGAATGGCAGAAGACGATATATATACAAAAGATGGTACTGTTGATATGCGTAAGAATCCTGCTAATAAGAAGAAGACTGGAAATTGGAAGGCCTGCCGCTTCATTCTTGGTATTTTTTTTCTTTTTCCCCTTTGTTTTTAATATTCAGTTTTGATTATTATATGCTCAAATTGTAATGATGGTATATAGGGAATGAATGCTGTGAAAGATTGGCATATTATGGAATGAGTACCAATCTGGTGAACTATCTTCAAATACGTCTCAACATGGACAATGTAGCTGCTTCAAATAGTGTTACCAGTTGGTCAGGAACCTGCTACATTACGCCATTGATTGGAGCCTTCTTGGCCGATGCTTACTTGGGAAGATATTGGACGATTGCCAGTTTCTCAATCTTATATGTCTTTGTAAGCTTTTCTTGCCATTTTGAAGTCTTTAAAATGCATGATTATTCGAACCGTGTTAGCCTTAGCTAGCGGCTGCTTTGTAGTGATACTATGTTTTTTTATGTATGGTATTGGAGGGCATGACATTGTTGACGATGGCTGCTTCAGTCCCTGGATTAAAGCCATCATGTGACAGTACTGGTTGCCATCCAATGGGAGGCCAAACTGCTGCCACATTCATGGCACTTTACTTGATCGCCCTTGGAACAGGGGGGATCAAGCCCTGTGTTTCGTCTTTTGGGGCTGACCAATTTGATGAAACGGATGAAGTTGAAAGAAAGAAGAAGAGCTCCTTCTTCAATTGGTTTTACTTTTCAATCAACGTGGGTGCCATGATTGCTTCATCAGTTCTTGTGTGGATACAAATGAATGTAGGCTGGGGGTGGGGCTTTGGAGTTCCTGCAGTAGCCATGGCTGTTGCTGTTGTGTTTTTCTTCTCTGGTAGCTCTTTGTACCGTCTTCAAAAGCCTGCAGGAAGTCCTCTCACCAGAATTTTGCAAGTAATCGTCGCAGCTTGTCGGAAACACGGGGTACGAGTTCCAGAAGATAAGTCTCTCCTTTATGAGACTGCTGATGATGTTGAGTCAAAAATTGAAGGAAGTCGCAAGCTCGAGCACACGAACAAGTTGAAGTAAGTATATTCATCAATGTAGTTACTGCCATTTGAGTTTCTCCTATAGATTGTCAATGATAGCCTTAACATTGTGGCGAGATTCTTATATTATCCGTACCATTCAGGTTCCTAGATAAGGCTTCTGTAGAGACTGAAAATGATAGGATGAAGGGCCAAATAGACGCATGGAGTCTTTGTACAGTGACACAAGTTGAGGAGCTGAAGAGCATTGTCCGGTTGTTGCCTGTGTGGGCGAGTGGAATAGTATTTTCAGCAGTGTATAGCCAAATGAGCACCATGTTCGTTCTACAAGGCAATACAATGGATCAGCACATTGGGCCAAGTTTCAAAATCCCATCAGCCTCGCTTTCGATCTTCGATACCCTCAGCGTGCTCTTCTGGGCTCCGGTATATGATAAACTCATCGTCCCATTGGCCAGGAAGTTCACCAAAAATGAGCGTGGCTTCACACAGCTACAACGGATGGGAATAGGACTGGTCATCTCTGTGTTTTCCATGGTTACAGCCGGTGGCTTGGAAGTTGTGAGGCTCAAGTACGTAAGGAAGAACAACCTGTACGAGGTGGAGAACATTCCGATGTCGATTTTCTGGCAAATTCCGCAGTACTTTTTCATTGGTTGTGCAGAAGTTTTCACATTTATTGGACAGATGGAGTTTTTCTATGACCAAGCACCGGATGCAATGAGAAGCATGATGGCTGCACTGTCTCTCACAACAGTTGGATTGGGAAATTACTTAAGCACGTTAATCGTTACAATCGTGACGAAAGTGTCGACGAGACACGGGAAGCTGGGGTGGATTCCTAGTAACTTAAACAAGGGACATCTTGACTATTTCTTCTGGCTGTTGGCGATTCTCAGCGTGGTTAATTTCTTTGTCTATCTGTTAGTGGCTAAAAGCTACACTTCCAAAAGGGCAACAGGCCATTTGCATTGAAAATCCAGTCCTTGATGCTCCCATACATTCTCACTTGCTCGCTTTTCATTACATTGAGTTGGATAGCTTTTAATTCTAGTGTTGAATGGTCAAAAAGTGTGGATTGAAGAATAATAGTTTGACCAACTTATTGTTGGGATTGCTTCTTTTTCTTCTCTTTTCTTTTACAGTGGTGGCTTTGTTGACTTTGTGGACAAAATTATTAAACAAAAGGATTACCTCTAAGAAAGAATGTTTCGTTACCCTCTCTAATCGATATCAAACTCAGAATTCTCTCTGGCATTCGTTCTCCTCTCCCATGTAATATTTGACGTAATATGATTGTTTTTTATTATTATTGTTTATAAAATAAAGTTTTATGCGAAGCCAATCCTGGTGGACCCAACAAATTAAATTCACAATTCTTGCAGTAATGCTTTTGACTTCATTTATTACAAAGATATTAATGTCACCATCAGTGATATTGATAATATAAGAAACAAAACAAGAATCAAGAGCTTCATCATGATTTCCCCTTTTCTTTTGGGCATTGGCTGTCTCATTCTCAAGTGGTTTGCTTACTCAAACAATGAAATCAAATCACAGTAGAAAGATGAACATGAAGAAGACACATGAACAGTTTTGAAACTGTTTTTCCATCCATTTCCAATAAACCCAGTAAGGAAAGGAAAGCGCTTGAGCAACAAATACATATATTTATATATTTATGTAGCAACTTTCAACCAGAAAACATGTTTTTGAATTGAATCCTTCCCAAACCAATATCAGTTTAATACAGTCGAAGAACACTTCTAGCAATGGACTGTGCTTGATTTGGTTTCACCTTTCCCGACCCACCTCGCCTGCTGCCCCTCAACGACGTCAAGTAGAACCGGAGAAGTCCATTGTCGATGTTCGTCGGAGAATGTCGAGCACTACGGCTCCTTTCCAAGACTGGCTCCTCGTTCTTCTTTTTCCCATTCCCATTAGTCTCTGTATTGCTTTTCCTTGAACTACTGAAAGATCCACCCATCATACTTGAACTCCTCCAACTTACACTGCTGTTACTCCTAAACATTTTGGGATTGAACCCTCCTTTGATATCACTATTCCGCTCGCCGCGCAGCTCCGGCCATGACCCTGAATTCGACCGCTCCATGCCATTGGGTCTACTACTCTCTTTGTCTTCCTCCTCATCTTTGTTTCCTCCCCGCCGGTTAATCAATCCCCAGATTCTCCAACCTTTCCCCCACCCTCTGGACTTTTTTGACTCCTCTTTCCGGTTCCCCGTCCCAACCACCGACGCAACATCATTAAATGCCGAATCCAAGGACTTAGAGCAGTCCTCTTGCAGGGAACTGGAGTTGGAATCTCTATCTGGGATGGCTAGTTTCGGGCCATGGCACACATCTGTAGTTGCAGGAGAAACTTTGGCGTTCGAAACAGACGACTTCATCTCATCAATCTCAGCCACCACCGCTGCGGCGGTCTTTCTGATGGAGTTGGACCGGTCGAGGCTCTTCCGTCGACGGGAAGAAGAGTCTGAATAGTAATCCCGGGTCTGCGAAGACCCGCCGGGGATATTTTCTTCCTCATTGGTTGAATTTATGGAGTCTTCGACGGGAATTTGTGCATCGGTACGGAAGACGTTGATAGGGGCATCCTCAACGACGGAAAGCATAGTGGGCATTCTTGGGAACGTTCGGCTAATCAAATACCCGTCCCAAGAAGCCCTCGGTTCGTCGAACGAATAGCGAGGATCGTCGAAGGACATTCGGCCGGCATCGAGAGAGAATCTCGGATCAATATCGCAGGATCGTCGGCCGTAGCCGTAATCAGCAATTTCCGACTGGGTATCTCGGAAATGGCGTCCGATTGGCTTCTCCACTGGCAATGCCGTAGATCCACCGCCGTTTCTCTGCTTCTTTTCCTTCTGTTTATCCCTCCATTTCTGCAGCTTCTTGCTGAAAACGGAAGCCGCCGACCAGAAGCTCCCCCTTCCGGATGGCTTCTTCGTGTGTGAATCGAGATCTATATGATCCTTCATGGTTTTGAATTCCTCCTGTAGTTGCACCGTTTCTGGCCCTACTTCAACCTGAATTTCTTTTTCTTCAACGATCTCCTGAGCTCCGTTTTCGATCACAACATCCACCACATTGGGTTGTTCCGAAACCCTAATTTCTCGGTGGCCGAGGGGTTGATGTTCAAGGCAGGAGGAACTGGAGTCCTCCAAAAACTTAGTCTCGGGAGTAATTTCAGCAGAAGGAGCGACAAGGTTGGAAGAAGCAGAAGCGTCGTGGGAAAAGAGAGAGCAGTGAGCGTTACGAACTCGAACGTCGCAAGATTTCCTCTGCGGCTCAAAGACAGCGGAGAAGGCGTCGTTCTTAGAGGCAGAAAAGGATTTAGTACGACGAAGCTCAGGAAAAAAAGAAGAGGGTCGATTTGGAGGAGCAGGCCTGAAAATAGCCTTAAGAGCAGAGGCAGCAGTGGAATGGGGTTTCCGGGTAGAGGAAGAAGAAGAAGTAGTAGAAGAGGAATCGAGAAGAGAGAGACGCTCACAGAGACATAAAGGGCAGAAAGCAGTAAACTGCTCTTGTGGGTGACGAGGACAGGCGGCGGAAGGGCGGTGGGGCAACGGCGGCAAAGGAGGAGGAGGTGCTGGTTGCTCGTGGGTGGAGGGATTCATAACAAAGAAGGAGAAGCTATGAGAGAGTGAAGAAGAAGAAGAAGAAGAAGAAGAAGGCTGTCATGATAGAATATTGGGAAATGTTGGCGAGAAGGAATTAGGAAAGTGAAAGAAAGAGAAAAAGACTGAGATCTTGCAGCTGCATTTCTTTTTAATAAATTCTTTTAATATTTTCCCAAATTTTAAATAAATAAATAAATAAATAATTGTTTGTAGGGGAACTCGCCTTGGAAATGACTATTCTACCACCCCCACCCTTTTACCCTTTTTTAATTTCCACTTAATACAAATTTTTTCCAAAATTATTATTCTTATTGTAAATAACAAAAATATAATTGAAAAATAAAGAAGAAAAAAAAGGGCAAACAAGTTTCATGAAATTACATCCATCACCCTCTAGAATCTCCAAAGCAAGCAAATTTCCCGAAAAGAGCTATGGGGTATATCTGTCCCTTTTTAGTTTTCAATGAAAACACCACTATTATTATTATTATTATTGTTGTTGTTAAAATACAAATATTCAACATGTTTTATTTTAATAATTATTTGATTTGGAAAGTGAATAAATGGCGAAATGAATAAGGTGCATTGTATAATTGTATAATTGTATAGTTGTATTATTGTATTATTGTATTATTGTTGGCTCCGAATCCCAAGGTTGCTCAACACAGTATCTAAAATTCCAAAACCCCTTTCACATTATCAAATACACAAACCGCTAAACCACCGTGAAACCCCGCGGGGTTAGCACTGCGCCATAAGGCCCAACCCAAATATCGAATTTACTTTTCTGAAAACAAATTAATTATTGTAAATTTAAGCTAACCACTCACCGGATTACACCTGGAATGTTATGATTGGTCTTCATGGTGGGTAAGACCCGGTAACCCCATGTCCACGGTGCTGGATCAGTGTGGGCATACAATATAGTGTAAACTGCTTTGCCGTCCTCCTCTACCTTTAACTTTAACCCTTTTATTTCTTTTTAAATAATTATTTTTTTAAAATATGTGGTTTTTTTTTTCCAAGGACAAAAGGCTTGTGGGTTTGTCTTGCTCTTTATTTTTTTTATTTTATTTAATGAAATGAATGAATGAAAAATGAAATACCTGAATTATGGTTTGCCTTTCCATGGTATCCAAAGGTTAGGTTGGTCCAATATGATTCTCCTTGTCCATTTATATCTCTAACATTAGTACTCCATGATCTAGCAAAATTACGATAATGTACTCGTTCAGAAAAACTTCAAAGTTTGAATCTTTAACCAATTTAATAGAAATATAAGATGCATTCATAAAGTTAATCATCTATTAAACATAAAAGAAAAGGTTCCAAAATCACGATAACAAGGATTGTTTCGAAAGGAATATGGATCCATGGGTTAGTTTAATGTTTTTTTTCCTAAATTTAATGTTCCTGTTTTATTCTAACTTACAAGTCCCCACCAAATTTGTGTATATTTATTTGTCTCTCCTTTGCTATTCAATCATTGTTCTCTATCTCCATTTTATTTTAACAATATTCATTAAGAAATTTGTTTGGCAATTAATTAAGGGTAGCCTTTTGATAATTAAAGAAGTATGGAGATGAAGTAAATGGAGGTGGTTATTATTATGTATATATAATAAAATAGAGGTGAAGTGGTAATCAGGTAATAATACGATATAAAAGCATGCGCAACCAATTGATCCCAAAAATATTGCAATCAAACCCCACCATTCCTTTTTTGCCACATCATTATCATCTATAATTACTCTTCCCAATAATAATAATAATAATAAATTATTTTGTATTAGTTTTAATCCTCAAATTAATAATAATGGTATAAATTAAAACCTTCAATAAAATTTTTTTTTTTTTTTTCCATGCCATTCAACAATTCAACAATTGGATCTATGATATAAGGCCTGGATCTTAGATATAAGGCTTGGATCGATCCAACCGTATTTGATTCTAATATTATTTATACACAATTCACCTCGAGGGCTCAACGTCCTTAGCTAATTTATTCATTACTTTTTTAGGGTAAAATTATTCCTTCATTGATTTATATATTAAATGAGTATTCATTTTCTCCAATAAATTTTGTACCAAAATTTAGTTATAGAAATTAGAATAGGATCTTCATTTCTGCTTTCTGCAGCCATAGCCACAGCCACAGCCACAGCCACAGCCATGGACTTTAATGAGTAGGGAAGGTGGCTTGGCTATAAGGTTCCAGAGGCTTCGTTTTCTGTGAAAGTTTTTTTCATCATGTACATCCAAACTAAAATGGGGCCATAGTACAAATTTGAATCAAACCCACAACCAGATTCCTCGAACCCATCACACTAATGGCTTCGGACCAGACTCTGTTCCACAACAGCCTTCTCGCCCTGTACCTCATCGGACCACCGACCGCCATCTCCCTGAGGTTTCTCCAGGCGCCCTACGGGAAGCACAACCGCCCGGGGTGGGGCCCGACCATGTCGGTTCCGTTGGCCTGGTTCCTCATGGAAAGTCCCACCCTATGGCTGACCCTCCTACTCTTCCCCTCCGGTGATAACTCCTCCAACTACAAGTCTCTCCTTCTCATCTCCCTCTTCCTCCTCCACTATCTCAATCGCACCTGCCTCTACCCAATTCGCCTTCTCCGGAGTGGAACTCGACGGAATTCCGCCACCGGTTTCCCGGTGGTTGTGGCGCTCATGGCATTCGTGTTCAATTTGCTCAACTCTTACCTGCAGACCAGATCTGTGTCTCACTACATGGATTACGACAGAGACGAGTGGTTTTGGTGGCGGTTTTTCGGCGGGGCGGTGGTCTTTGTGCTGGGGATGGCAGTGAATATTTGGTCGGATGGTGTTCTGGTAAAATTGAAGATGGCGGGCGGCGGATATAAGGTGCCGACGGGAGGGTGGTTTGAGTTGGTGAGTTGCCCTAATTATTTGGGAGAGATTGTGGAGTGGCTGGGCTGGGCGGTGATGTGCGGGTCATGGGCTGGGCTAGGGTTTTTTCTTTACACGTGTGCCAATTTAGTGCCTAGGGCACGTGCGAACCACACGTGGTACTTGAACAAGTTCGGGGAGGATTATCCCCGAGATAGGAAGGCCGTTATTCCCTTCCTCTATTAAGTGTCTGTATCAAAAATTAAAAGTAATAAATAAAACAATAACCTTAAATTCTCTTATTTTAATTCATTAAAAAAAATGAAAATTATTTATATTTAAAGAGATGGATGAAATTGTATTGTAACTTAGTTTTGCCGGGCAGCGATCTTCGTAGCTTGCTTCTTTTCCATGGATATTATGGCGGAGAAACCTCAAAATGGTGAGACCTTCTTCATTCTTATGGTTCTTCTTCTCATTGTCTCTCTGTTTTTTCTTCGTTATTTTTCCTTTTCGAGTTATTGTCGGTTTGTTCATCTTGTAGTGGCGATTCTCGAGCAATTGCGACTAGGAATTGCTCGATTTGAGCTCGTATCTTCGCCTGTAAATTCAATTTCACCTTCCAACTCAGTCGCTCCTTCTTTCCCTTTTTCTATGAATCGCGGTCGCCCACTCTTTGCTAAAATTGGACCCATGCTGTAAGTTCATTCATTCTCTTTTAGTTGGGCGAAAGTTTTTGATATCCGTGTCTTTTCGGAATTCATAAATTGTTGTTCTTAGGCGCGCTGAATCGCCTGCATTGAGGAAAGCTGAGCACTACAAAGTCCAGAAAGTTACTGGAGATGGACGCTGCCTATTCCGTGCGCTTGTAACCTATCTTCCCTTATTCTTTTCTTTTGTTCTCTCTTGAATTTATTTTGTGATTCCTTCTGTTTATTCTAATTTATGTTTCAAATTATCTAATTGTGGATTTTTGTTTTTCACTTTCTTTGCTATGCTTTTGATGCCATTTCATTTTCGGTCTAAAAAGCAACTTTTAACAACAAAATTTATTAAGTGCAACACAAATAAATTTTTAGAAACAAGGATAATCTTCAGAAATAAGATTAAGGACAGTGATTCGCAAGTATTTGTATTCCTGCTTACTGGCTGTCTCAAGGAAGTGGGAGCACTCTTTATTTATTGCCTTTTAAACTAACTTCCTCTTAATAAAATCAGGCCAAAGGAATGGCTTTCAACAAGGGGATTCCTCTTCGTCCATTTGAGGAGAAAAATGATGCAGGTAAGCTCTGATATATCATCTCTAATAGGGCACAATGCGAGTGCAGACATATCTTCTTGGATAATTGAGTGCGGAACATAATCTTCATGTTGATTGAACAAGTAGGAAGATTGTGCAAATATTCTGTTTACTATATCAACCAAATGTTTTTGGGTGCTCCAGTTGTCTACTAAGCTTACCATGAACATCAAAGCTAGAGTCAAAATTTTTTTTTTTTTTGTCTTGAATTAGTATTTCATTTTGACAAGCCCACTTCGACACTCAGGTGACATTGACGAGTGAGCTGTGCTTGTAGCACAAAAATATGTTTATCAGTCACACAACAAAAGACGATATGGGACTGTGGACATCTCTCCTCTTTCTAACTGTGAGATCCCACATCGGTTGGGGAGGAGAATGAAACATTCTTTATAAGGGTGTAGAAACCTCTCCTTAGCATACGCATTTTAAAAACCTTAAGGGAAGCCTGAAAGGGAAAGCCCAAAAAGGATAATATCGGCTAGCGGTGGGCTTAGGCTGTTACACTAATAGTTTTCAAGTGTTCGTAATCATATGAGTATACATTCTGGAGTTTGTGTATGAATGATCTAAAGTTCCAATTTTCATAAATCATTGATGTTGGTAGCTTAAACATGCAGATGATTTACGCATGGCTGTGAAAGAAGTTATTTGTGATAATGGCAAAGAAAGACGGCAGTATGAAGAAGCTCTCATTGCAATTACTGTTGAGGAGCCATTAGAACGGTTGGTTGGTTTCCCTTTTTACGTTTTTATTCTTTCTGTTCATGTGAAGTTGTCCTCTTAGATTTTGGGTTTCCACATGTCTTTGATTGCTGTCTGATAATGAGAACTTCCAAAAATAAATTTCAGCTACTGCCGACGAATTCGTACACCTAATTTCTGGGGAGGAGAGTCAGAGCTATTGGTTAGTTCTCTTCTTCTGGCGTATCTTCACAAGCTATACTCAGATTTTTGTTAATCTATTTTGCATTTACGCATTATGTGTAAAGCCACCTTTCGTTCACGCCACGTATGAATCATGATCTGTATTAATCTCTACCAGGTATTGTCAAAGCTCTGTAAGCAACCTATCATTGTCTACATACCAGAGCATGAGGTATACTTTTCTCAACTAAGATACCTACATCAATACCCATACAAATGTTCTAAACTGAGGTCGAGTCTATTCTCTGATAGTCTTGGGCAATTTAACTTCACAAATTTATTTCAGCCCTCTCTGATATAGCGATTTCATTTGTGTCGACGTTTGAAAAGAATAGTAGAAATTAACATGTTCTCTACTTAATTTTCAGCACAGAATGGGTTCGCGTAGCTCTAGCTTTATTCCTATTGCAGAATATGGAGCTGAGTTCAAGGGAGGAAAACCCAAGAAACCTGTGAGGTTGCTTTACAGCGGTAGGAACCACTACGATCTGCTTGTTTGAGGACCTTATTTTAGGGGTGATGTGACCTTGTTGCCATCAAAAGATGAGCCAACGGAGACATGCTCGACCAACAATGAATGGTCGGAGGAACCCAATAACACAACACCCAAAGCTCTCTTATCGTCGATCAATACCAAGCTCTTCTAATCTAATTTTTTTTGTAAAAGCTTTTGCATTCTGAATGTGAGTTCCAAACTTTTGAGTTGTTTAAACATTGTTTTTTTATGAAGAAATAAATGAATTGATGAGACTTTAAGAGAAATAGGACATAAAGGTTGGATTTTTGTTGAAATTTGTTGCTTTTGGGAGATTTGTTTAATGGTCTATCTTTCACGTTAGCAAGCAATATTTTATTTTGTGGATATTCATAAATTTTATATAAAATTAGAGAGTAAATTTAAGGAAAATTGAACTAATGAAGTAAGTTAATGAAAGTAATAAAGTTTAAACATTCGTGGTTAAAGTGAGTTTAGCTTCATAATATTAATGAAAGTAATGTGTAAAATTTAAATTAACATAATTTTAAGCAAAAGATTAATTGCCGCATTTTCTTTGGTTGAAGAGAGAATTATAAGCATAGACCAAAAGGTAGAGGCATAGCTTAGCTTGGCTTGGCTTGGCTTGGCTTGGCTTGGCTTGGCTGATTCTAGGGTTTATTTCTCTCTCTTCTTCCTATTTTGTCTTTTGAGGTGTGATTCTGATTATGGACGAAGCCAGCAATGGAGGGATGTTGTATCATGAGGTACAAGAATCAAAGCTCTGCGCTGTGCATTGTGTCAACACCGTGTTGCAGGGTCCCTTCTTCTCCGAATTCGATTTGGCTGCTCTGGCATACGATCTTGACCGAAAAGAACGCCAGATGATGCTTACTGGTTCCACCACCGGTGATTTTCTCTCCGAGGATTCTCACAATGTCTCCTTGGACGGTGATTTTAGCATCCAGGTTTGATTTCTATCGCAATATCTGTTCTTGGTTGTTATTCTCTTCTCCGTCTCCTTCTCGAACTTGGTTGAGGGAAAGTGAAGGTCTTCTTTGCATATCTGTTGATTCGTTTGATAATGGGCTAAAATCTTGCCTCATGCTGTCGAGAACTATGGTCAATTTAGTGTGAATACGCTCGTTCTTCCATGGAGAGTCTTTGTGTAACTTCTTCAATCTGATTTGAATTCTCTCTACACGCGAATAGACTTACTCGAATTCCAGTCGTTATTGAATATTTTAAAACAGTGGTATTCGAATATATCGAACGTCTTATGGAAAGCAATTGAATTGCGATCCTGATGTCATAGTTATGTATTCTCTTAACGTAGTGACAAACCATTGTAAGCCACTATGCAGTCGTGACAGTCATGAACCATTTGCGTAATGGTTACAACAGTTATTTTTTTGAATTTAAAATAGCTGATACATTGACTTGTAATGATATGGGAATTAGTTAAAATACCTTTTTCTAAACAATGTTCACTAATTGCAAGAACCCATAGCTTCTTTTCTCCTATGTCTCAATGTCGTCCACCTGAGATAGCAGCGTTGAGTAGTGTAGTGGTGCAAAATTGATTAACATTGCAATGCACGACCTTTGTGGCAATGCTTGCTACTACTATTCGGTTGTACCTGATAATACAGTAAAAGTTCGTTGTGATTCCTTCAAGTGATGTACGTTTCTTGCTGTATGCTCTGCTTCAAATGTGAAAATTTAAAGAATAGGTTTACCTTTAACTTATAACTGTGAATGAGAGTTGACCACATGGTGTGTTGGGGGAGAGCTTTGGGCATAGCTATTCTAGAAGAGATATACTTATGATCTCTTAGGGTATCATTTGATAACCATTTGGTTTTTTTTTTTTTGTTTTCGAAAATTGTGTTTATTTCTTGCAATTTCTTTATTTTCATATTTCTTGAAACATTGGTAAAAAGTAGACAACAAAGCAAAGAAACTGAGAGGTGAAAGTAGTGTTTATAAGCTTTATCTTTTTAAACAAAAAGTTAAATGGTTATCAAATGGGGCCTTATTTCTTGAATTTAACTTAATTAGAATATGGGATGGCTAGAGGTTGTTAAGGTCTCATTTAGTAGCATTTGGTTTTTTTCTTTTTGGAAATTGTGCTTATTTTCTCATAATTTCTTTATTTTCATATTTCTTAAGGAAACATTGGTAAAAAATAGATAACAAAGCAAAGAAACTTATAGGTGAAAGTAGTGTTTATAAGATCAATTTTTAAACTAAAATTCAAATGGTTATCAAATTAGGCCTTAATACTTGAATTTAACTTGAATTAGCATATGAGATGGTTTGAGATTGTTAGAAGATTTGTTTTACCAGCAACTGGTTAAAAAGAAAGACGGGAAGTGAGGGAGTAGAGCATGATTTAGTGACTAATCAGAAAATATTGGAAATGGGCAAGTAAGGACGGACTTTTGACCTTCTTCCCTAATCTTGTAATATGTTCCTTATTTTAATGGAAAAATTCTTGGTTCCCATCAACTATACTGGACAAGACACGTTGGTTATGAGCTTTGTGGATATTAGAGTGATGAAACTCAATACCTTATTTTGGATACTCAAATTTAGCACTCCATCTCTCGTTTCTTTCTTTCTTTTTTTTTTTTTTT